TTCCAACCATAAAACAGCAGCCCGCCCTGCCGAGCTGCTCTGGAGGTGGCCTCTCTCCTCATGCTCCAGTGCTGGTGGTTCAGGGTGGTTGTATTACCAGTCCTCTCCCTGTTCTTATTGTTCTTTTGCTGGTTTAAACCACCATTCCCTGCATTGAATTTTTACTTCTTTATTTTCCTCTGTCCCTTTTTTCTTGGTCACTTCTTTTCTCTAGCTCTTATTAACTTATTTCAGGCTTTGTATGGACCTGAACTTGGCACACAACACACAAGCCACATGAAAAGCTTCCCTACGTTTTGGAAATGTCCTGTGTTCGTGTTTGGCCTCGTTACTGCTGAAGCCCATGAGATGTGGCTGAAAGCTGAAGAAACGAGCTCAGCACCAGTTCAGGAGACACATCGGTGAACATGTTCAGTTATATTATTAAACGATGCCTAGTAAAAGGGAGAGGAGTTGTTGAACGTCACATACAACAATCTGAATCTTTAAACTTTAAACTGATGAGTTGTGAGTAGACGAGTCAGTAGTGGGTCTGTTGGCCGCCGGACATGGGGACATGGGGACAAGGCAGAACATTGTCAGGTTCAGTCCCTGATCTTCAGACGCTCTGTTTGTTCTGCGACAGGTTGAAACTCGTCTGTGAGCTCAGGTTCATACCCATTGTGTTACTGTTTGCTGTCTCTAACCACACTGACTCGCAAACTGACTCAGATTCAGACGGTTTCCGTGATTTGTTGACTCGTTTTATTCGTTTCTATCTCAAACATGTTCAACCGTGACCGTGTCCTGTGGGAGAAGACGGACTCATCCTGCCTTTGGAGGAAGCCTCCTGTGGTGCAGGCTCGTTCGTTGTGTTGCAGAATATGTTGATGTTATTGTACATTTTAATGCGATAATAAAACATTAGCATGAAATGCATTTAATGCTACAATTTCAACATTAAGATGAGAGAAACAAAGACTGAGTCAGGACTTAGGAGAGTTGCCCTCATTGAACATAAAGCCACAAACGAGTAAAACATGTTTAGACAAATGGGGAGGAGACTAAACTCACCCTATTGGGGACAAGTTGGTATAATAAAGATTGGGTTTTAGCCCATACATCCTCTGAGTGAACAAGAATGGGATCTTTTACACCTTCTAAATGGGATAGCCTGGCAAACATTCTTACCTCAGTCTACCCAGTCAACATGGTCATCTTCTCTCTTCCACTACTTTGCAAGTTTAGCTGCTTCAGATAATGGAGAATAATCTATTGCCTGCAGACCTAACCCTCCTTTATCTTTAGGAGCACACTGTTCGCTCATTTTAATCCTGGGCTTTTCCTTCCCCACAGCTTAACTATATTATCATACCTTTAAAAAAGGTTGGTGTTCTTGTAGTTGGCAGCATCTCAACTATGTAGTTAAGCTGAGGGGCTACCATCACATGTATTAGATATAATCTGTAGAGTAATGACTCATGATGGCACAACCTGGTTATGTTGTATTGATTTGGCACATGAGACTAGCAGAACATGGTCTACATGTGAGGGAAGCAACAGGGTAACTTACATGATGCAAGATGTTACACAGATCTTATCGTATGCGTGTAAGACTTCACAGAATGACATGAACTCAGGACAATTTATGTTGGAGGTGTAAAAGAGAAGTAGGACCCTTCCTGCACTGTATATGGGAATGCACACTGCTAAGACCATTCTGGACCAAGGTCACGGATGCCCTGAGTAACCGGTTTGGATGGACTGTCCATGTTGAACAGATCACAGTGTAAACGATGAGAACTCCTGTTGGGACCTCTTTTGGGACTTTATGAAGCCGGACAGAGCTCCTGGATAGATGTCATGTACTGTGTAATGCTTATTTTGTAACTATAATCCATATATATAATAAACCCCATAGCATTTATGGCGTCACCAGGACTCCAGACTGTGAACGAGTCAGATCCAGTGAGTCAGTGAGGGCAGGACTCACGGAGCTCTGCTGCCCTCCAGGTGTCTGACTGTGGTTCATGCATCTTTACATTTCAGTTGAATCTCATTCATCCCTTCACACACTTTAAGCTTTAACGTTTCAGAACTTTTTAACACCACACTGTTTTTTATTCTGCATGTTTCACTGTTGAACAAGAACTTAGTCCCGTTTATGCCACGTTCCCCTCAGAACCACCAGGACTCCCCTAGGAATCATTTCTTGATTCCTGTGGCCTGGGCTGGATTAATGAGCATGCCTACACAGTTCAGCCAGTGTCTCCTGTGACCTGGTGGCATGGTTATGAGTGTGGAGAGGAGGTGTGATGATGACCTCTGACCTCTGCTGGAACTCACAATGCTGTGGCTTGGTACCAGAAGCCAGGCTGGGTGTTTCAGATGTTTCAGGAGATTGGCAGGACAATGCTCCATCTCCATCAGAGCACAGGACTGACACCACACTTTGTCCCTTAGGAGCTGCAACACTTCTAACTCACCTTACTGTCTACAGCAGGGAGAAGAACTAGTCCCGAACGTTGTGAATAAAGCTTAATACTTTTTGCAACTGTCTAAGGAAACGATTCAAGGTTTTTAAGAACTTCCCAGCCCTGCTGAAGCTCTGGTCATCAGTGAACACCTGTGGGACTGTGCTTAATGTGAACCTCCAGGAGCAACAGAAACGCTTCTACTCTGCTTCAGTCTGCTTTACTTTTTTCTACTGCTTAA